TTTTTTTTTTTTCTTGGTGGTACACTATTGCGCAAACTTTGCTTTTATGTGAAACGACCTTTGAACTACGAAAACCAGTTGTATATGTGGAGGGCAATTGTGTCTTCTTGCATGGTTTCTTTGGTCTGGGCCTGCTGGTTTTATCATCAGCACTTCTCCAGGAATTGGTTTGAGGAAAAGGGGTTGCTTGTCTTCATCTTCATCATTATTATATCAAAACTGTCGATTGAAGTGGGGGTTTTTGGTGGGAAATAATATGGGATGAAGCACGCCGGTGCAGGAATGAAAGATGATGAGCTCAGAACCTTCGTCATTGGAATAAGATAGGTCGTTCAAGCATTTACCACCAGCAATGGGTGGCCAAAGGGATGGGAATATTCGTTCAAGCATTTACCACCAGCAATGGATGGGAATGAACGCCACTCTTTGGGAGATTGATAATTTGCCTTTGCAACAAGGAAGAGAGAGAATGTGAATGATGAGGTTTGAGAAGTAGGATACTTTAGAAAATAAACGAATTTTAAGTGTTTCAAATTGGGTTCAAAGGCCCTCAGTGTTCTGATGAATCAAATAGTCATGTGTGTTTGCAATTTAGTGGAAAAACATGTGCTTTAATTTGTGATTTTATTTTTTTATTATTATTATTTTTTTTTTTTTTGAAATTTTGATCAAGTAGGTATTAGATTCATTTGTGTGGATTGAATTGATGTATCCCTTATTTTTTTTTCTTTCATTCTGAAATTTGCAGACAATGGAATTATCTAAAGCAGCCAACAAAGAAAAGAATCGTCCGGTTCTCAGAATACTATGCTCACAGATTGTAATTTGGGTGGAGGCAAGTCTGTACATGATTGCTTGGTCGATGATATGTACACTGATTTTGTGCATAGTTATAATTCGAGAGGTGACAACTAGATACTCTGGTAAGATAATAAACCCAGTGCTGAGATAACCCACAGTGCTTGGAGGACTGCCAAATTACAAGTAGGCCTCAAACTAAATAAACCATGTGAAAAAGACACAATCGCCCTCAAAGTTCCACTCTTCTAAAGAATTGGAACCTTCTTTCTTGTAGTTCAAAGGTTAGATTGATGAAAATGCAAAGATTGTATGGAGGTATGGCACAAAACAAGTTTGTGCGGTTGAAAACAGTCAAAGATTGGATGGTAAACATTTTTTTACCCATATATTTGTTATTTGCAGAAAGTAGAGCTATCTGCTGTCCTTAATTTATACCTGGGCTTTTCATTGTTGCTTCATTTTTTTGGTCCTTATTTAATAATTATGTGAAAGAGTGACAGGAATGTGTGTCTGTGTGTGTGTTTTGCAGATACAGTCCTGGTGAGTTTCCTCTACCTTGTGAGAATGAGTCCGCTGAGTTTTACCGAACGGCCTCCGGAATGCTTAGGGATGCAGGCTACGAGCATTACGAAATCAGCAGCTACTGCAAGCCCGGATACCGTTGCAAACACAACAGCACATACTGGAAAAACGAGCCCTACTACGCTTTCGGGCTAGGTTCGGCAAGCTACATTCGTGGAGTGAGGTTCTCAAGGCCGAGGAGGCTCAAGGACTACGTGGATTACGTGAAAACTTTGGAAGATGGATTGACTGATTGTGTGGGCCCCACAGATGCTAAGGATTTGGCAATGGATGTTGTGATGCTCTCTCTCAGGACAGCCGACGGCTTGGATTTGAGACGTTTCAGGGAAGCTTTTGGGGACTCGGTCACGCGTTCCATTTGCAAGGTCTTCACACCTCATGTGGAGAGCGGGCACGTCATCTTCTTGGACGAGCAAGGAAGATGTGAATGTATGCCGGGTGATGGGTGTGGATTTCTAAGGCTGAGTGATCCGGACGGTTTTCTGTTGTCCAACGAGCTCATATCTCTTGCTTTTGCCACCATTTCTCCATGACCTTTTCCCTTTTTAACTTTTCGCTATTTCTATGGTTGGTCCTTCATTATCTATCTCAATATCTGAAACAGATGTTTACTGTTATGAAATCAATCACCAACCGCACATGAACCATATCTATTACATTTGGCTTTGATATAAAGATGAAAACTTTCATGAGTAGAGTAGTTAACATTCTTAGGAAATATGGAATGTGTGATTTTGGTGGTTAATTATGAGGTTAGAATTTATTGATGCCTAGATTGCATGCTTTGAATTGTATAAAGGTCTGAGATTTTGATATGAAGCTTGGTTATTTAGGTTTACGGAGCTCCACTAGAGTAGTCTTTAGAACCTAACTTCTACATAGAGATATTTCTAATTGAGTCTATTCTACGGTTTATCTATTGTATTGCTTAATGCATTAGTATACTTGTGATAGCTCGATTGATACTTGCCGATTATTGATTATTTGATTGCATGTTTTCGACGGTTTATCCATTGTATTGCTTAATGTGTTAGCATACTTATGATAGCTCGATTGATACTTGTAGATTATTTGATAGCATGTTTTCGAACCTCTAAATGTATTCTTTTCATCTCTTAGGCTTGGACTACTTAGTTCTGTTTTTATTTGTCTTTTATTGCGTTCTTGTGATTTTCTTGCCTTTGATTTAGTTTAAAAGCACTCGAGTAAGCTTACTACAACCAGTGACGGATCTAGAAATTTTACTCAGGGGAGTCCGATTTTAAAAATTAAATAACTGATTTATGGTTTAAGTCGAAACACTTATTCCATATAGAGATGTATATACTATAAACATAAATATCGATATGCGTACGATCAAGTTTTTTAAAACTTAGAATCTGTATCATCCTCAAACTTTTAAGAAAATAAACAAAAAACAATTGATTTCATTTATTTATATTTTAAGTTCAACATCTAAAATTTATAGGAAAATATATTTTTTTGGTAGAAAAATTGATTGAAATTGAACTTTGATACCACATTGCGCATTTTTGCTGATGAGAACTTATCAAGTGAATAATTTTTAAGAAAATACACATGAAGTTAAAAATATAAAATTACACAAAAAAGTAAAAAAATCACCATTAAAAAATATAACAATCCAACTAAATACTCGGTGTTATAAATCACTAAATCGTGTTACAATTAAGAGACATAAGGAGTAAATCGTTATAGATATTTTCAAAAATTTATCTAGAAAAGTAAATTATAAGGACTTTTAGTTTCTCAATAAAAAAAAATAATATTATTAATTTTAAATTAGAAATAGCATAAAAAATAAGTTTTAATAACTAATATATTGTAAATATTTTTTTTGCAGTTCTATGCATATTTCATAGTATTTTCTATATATATATATATACACATTGATTTTTCTAAAAAAGTGATGGGGGGCCCACGGGCCCCCTGGGCCTGCTGTAGGTCCGTCATTGACTACAACCAACCAACCTTTGCAGTTATGGTGCTTAGGATTTTATTTTTTGTGGTCGATCATTCTATGAATCTGATTCCGAGAAAGTCTTTACTCGAGAGACATGACTAGAAGTCTGGTTTATGTGGTGCTTTCTCTGAGTTCACAATTTTAGTCCATATAGCTATCTTACTTTTGGATAGAGTCACCTCGCTACGTATTTGTTTTATAAGGTGACGTGTGGAGGGGTGCTTATCAGCGGCCGCCGGCTATACGAAACTTTGCTCTCTAGCCCAACAGTATGAAACTCGCTTGATTCAATGGTCATTGCCGCTGTCGGAATGGGTTAAGGTTAATATGGATGGGGCGTTTTCATCCAGTACGGGTTGCGATGTGCGGGAGGGTTGGTTTACGATTCCCACGGTCGCTGACTCGGAGGATTTATGATAACGCCGACATTTGTTCCATTACTGGAGTTGAACTGGGGACTCTTTCACGGGCTATCTCTCGCATGGGCTTTGGGCGTACGAGTGGCGGAAGTGGACAACAGTAGCGTGATTACTATGGTTATGGGGCGAGAGGACGTGGGTGGGATCTCGAGCGGTCGGTGCAATTAGATAATGTGTTTCGGGAAGCGAATTTCACTGCGGATCATCTGACTTCTTTAGCGGCGTCCTTAACCTTAGGGGTGCACCATCTTCATGTCCCACCACTGTCCGTCGGCAGGTGGCTTGAACATGATTTATTCGGGCGGCTTACCCCTGTCGCGTTCTGTTATAATGTCCGTTAGGCCTAGGCCTCCCTTTATTGTACTGAAAAAAAAAAAGAAGACTCGACTTCGTTTTCTATTTTCGAGAAACCCTCTCGTGAAAAAAATCTCAAAATCGTAGAAACACCTTAATAATCTGCTTATCTCACCTCACTCCCACCGTGCGCTCCACCCCACCGTAGAGATGACCAACACTAGAGCGGACCTTGTTTTTCTTGTCAGTTTTTCGGTCTAATTTCCCTGCATGGCTTTTTCTCCGTTCGACGGGTGGATTTGGCGGGGTTCTCCGACAAAGATGTGGTTGCATTCGTTGTTCGCTTCTCCTGCGGCGGCCAAGATTTAAGCCAACGTCAGTTCTTCCCTGATCCAATCTTTCTACGGTTTTGTGAAGGGAGGTTCCCTCTGGCGGTGACTCGTTTCGTCTCTGGAGGAAACTGGTCGTGGTTGTTGGGGTTATGGTGTGGGAGGTTTGGGTGCTGGCCTCCGGGTGCTGTTTTCTATGGTGGAAGAGGGATTTGGTTCGTTGATTTGGATTTAGTCAGTCGTAGCACTATTGAGTTTCTAGATCTGTGTCTTGGGTCGTGCTTCTATCCTTCCTGGGTGGTCATATTTGGTTTTTCCTCGGGTGGTAGTGGTTTGGAGTTGCTTGTCGACTGTTGTGGAGGGCTTATTTTAGTTATCAGTGTCTTTTATTGTTGTTTATATTATTTGCGTGTTTTGTGCTTGTTTTTTATTTTATTCTTCTTTTTATGAGTCTGTATTCTACATTTATGATAATATCGTAGTTTTATAGTTTTGTGTGTGTTTGTATTAGTCTTATCGATTTACGCTACCTTAATGTAGCCCTTTCACTACATGCAACTGTATAGATGTGTGTGTAGGTGTAGGATGTAGCTGCTTGATTCAACTGTTACTCATTGTTTTCAGGCTTTAAATATGTGTTATTTTTGT